ACTTTTCTATGAATCTCACACTTTGTGCCCTTACTGTACATTGTTCTCATCATCTGGAAACCATTAAACGCAATGTTTCCTCTTATCAGCCCCAATTTTGCCTTTGGTCACCGTTCAATACCCTGCCTCTATCATAGATCTATTCATCGCGCCAGAAGGGGGCGTTATTGCTTACTTTGAGAAACGCTGAGCTAAAATAAAAGTCAATGTGTTAGAAATATTCAAGTTGTGACCTTCAATAAAAAATAAAAAATATATAAAATGTCAACATTTTATATATATTCCGTCGAATTTTTATATATAGAATTTTTCTGCCGTCGCCCCTCTATATTTCCTTAACGCCCCCCAATTCTCTTTGAGCCTTCTACTGCCCCCCTGAAAGCCTCCAGCGCCCACAAGGGGGCGTTATCGCCCACTTTGAGAAACGCTGCTTTAAGGCATAATATTATACAACTTAAGCCCATATCCCGAGTTAACTCGGGCATAGTCCGTATCCCTATGATCGCTATGGACCCTTCCCGAGTTAACTCTGGCAGGGTCCATAGCGTTACATAAAACTCGGGCGTTCGGACCCTCTGAAAAAAGTTTTCTTTTGGGTTTTTCAATGTTTTTTAAGTCTCCAAATTTTTTCAAAAACTTTTTTCTGCACAAAAAAATTATCGCGATTGTAATAGTTTTTTAATTTTTTAAATTAATATATTTTACTATATATAAGTTTAATTAAGTCGGAGGGTCGGAAAAGGCAATAAAAATCGTAATTTTTTAAAAATTTTAAAAAATATACGGCCAGCTAGTATTCATCCTACTTTAAACCGTGATCATCCTGAGACTTCTATGAGAATGTTACAGGAAATCCAACACCAGCTGTTCTCAAGGACATCCAGCTGTAAACACAATGACTCATTTGTGTCAGATTACACAAGAAGCCAAGACAATGGAAATTAAACTTTGAAGCTTTCTCTTCAAAATTAACGCATTTCTTTCGTTTTTTTCAGTTTTAAGTATTTTTTATGTTTAACTACATTAAAATTAAAAATTGGTGGGTACACAACAAGTTAAAGAGTTATAATTTATTACAATTTTATGGTTTAATTTTATGTATTTTAATTATATATTTCTTTTAGAAAATCGGATTAACATTAAATGGGATTAAGTTATGTGTACAACCTGGAGAATTGTTAGCTGTTATTGGTTCAGTTGGATCAGGAAAGGTAATGATTTTACTTTCCAATCTTCGTAATACATGATATATATAGTCTATAATTTAAAAACTTTTATTGTACCTATGCATTTTTATTTTTTTTCCAAAAATCTTATTACAGTCGACCCCCCCCATAAGATCATAGATACGTTCCATTGTTTAGGAATCCCATTTCTTACGAGTCTTTCCAATCACAGCCCGACACGTGTAAAATTTACAGACTACGGCTGGTTGAAAGGTTTTCTTCCATAAAATTAATCGATTCTAGACTAATCCGACTCAACATTTCCAAAATACGTATATTTTTTTGGAAATAATCCGTATAAACTACGTTATAAACAAAAAATTGTAGGATTACTTACCGAGTGTGTACCATTCANTGGATTAACATTAAATGGGATTAAGTTATGTGTACAACCTGGAGAATTGTTAGCTGTTATTGGTTCAGTTGGATCAGGAAAGGTAATAATTTCACTTTTCAATCTTCGTATATACATGATATATATAGTCTATAATGTAGAAACTTTTATTGTACGTGTGCATTTTTCTCCCAAAAATCTCATTACTTTACTCTATGTAATTATACATAGTTATAATACAACTCAGTAAGATAGAAGTCGACCACATGATTTATTTACAAAAATTTTGCAAAAAATTATACGTAAATTATAATCACAGTAAAATATTTTAAATAACGAAACCAGTACGACAATGATATTTTTGCCTATGTATGCCTGCAATATTTGGTCAATGACAGTCAAAGACACGGCATATTACCATTTTGTGACATCACTGTTTAAAGTAGGGTCGGCCAACGCGTAGACTGCGGTCGACCGCAAAAGTTTTGAAAGTAGCCCGCGAAGCTAAAGTTGAACAATTTGCTTTCACTTAAATTAATGTTTAAAAATCTTAATTCGATAAATTATTCTTACAATAATAGACTGTCTGTGCAACGTACCCATACTGTTTGTATTTATCCCGATGAACAATGCAAATGAATGTTAATGCACGCGCATATAAAAATCCTAAAATTGTTTGCCCATATTCATAGTCGCCCGCAGACTATATTTTACCGAAAAAGTAGCCCCTAAGGGATAAAAGTTTGGCAACACCTGGTTTAATTAAGGAATAATATCCTAACAAAGTTTTGACATGATATTCAACAGCTATGTAATTTTCCGGAATTTGTATTAACATTTTTCAGACAATACTATTTTTAAACTGATTCATATTTATTGCCTATTGTCTCAATAATTTTTTCTTTAAAATTCTGCAAATTTTCTCTGTAGAGGAATGACCTGAGCATCATGCAGGCCGTGGTAAATTTTTATTTAGGCCTATTTCTAGCGAAGTGACTCGCTGATTACCTTAATTAAACTTGTACAGTTCAATGTTATCTTGATAGAATGAGAAGAAACGATTCCGCAACTGCACTCTTCTGAAAGTAAGCAAGTTAGTTTCCAAAACGTGGAATATATACGCCTAGGCTTTCATCAATCCATTATAGAAATATAGTCTACTTATACAACGAGCAGAAATACACGCAAATATCATTAATAATGCTTGCATCTGGTCTTGATGCCAGCAACACTACCACTGCATTTTCTGGCGTATAAGACGACTTTTTAACATAGGAAAATCCTCTCAAAAGTCGGGGATCGTCTTATTATACGCCTGAAAGTACGGTAGTTGTTTGACCTGTACTTATAAAAATCACTTTTAATCAATATTTTCAAAACAAATTTGGAGAGAGGATTTGTCAGATAATAGAACAGTTTTTAATTCAGCTGTTATTCAGAGGTGATGCTATCTTGATTACCCAAACTGACGACAATTTTCCAACTCTGAGAGTGATATCTACTGTATTTCTGAAATTCAGCAGATATTGCTAGATAATGCGGTATTTTCGAAATTCCTACTTTTTACTGAAACAATACAGTGATACAGTGAACAAATACTGCTAGATGAAGAGACGTAGTTCTATTAGATTCTTGTCCTAGATGAAATATATCACATGACTTTACTAATACAGTATAACTATATATTTAAAGAAAGTTTATTTTATTAAATAATATAGTTTACGATTGATGTTTAAGATCATTATTACTAAGTATTGTTTTCCTCTTTACTAATCTAAAGTTTTTTCTTTGTCAGACATCTTTATTGATGTCAATACTAGGAGAGATTCCTATTATTTCTGGAACAGTATCAGTGAAAGGAAAAATATCTTATTCTTCACAAGAAGCATGGATATTTAACGGAACAATTAGAGAAAATATTATATTTGGAGAAGAATATCAGGAAGAAAAATATAGAAAAGTTTTACACATAACGACCCTTGAGACGGTAAAAACTTTATATACTTTACAATAAAAATTAGATTTTGAAGCAAGAATTTGTTGTAAATATCTGTTATTTTTTACGGTTATAAAAAACAAGGTCATTATTAGGATACAATTTGAAAAAAATTGGAGACCTGTAAATTCCCACTGTTGTCTGTCAGTCATTCCGTAATCTCAGAAACGGAGTTTGATAGATAAGTAAAGCGACCAGTTCTGGACACGGGAAGTGTAGGATTCCCTGAGTAACTGTATACGGACTTTTGAGGCAACCCGGAAATTGCGTTATTTCAATTAAATTTCACTTCGAAAGGTGTTAGATTGATAATCGGTACGATTCTATTGTTAAAGAAAACGTCGACAGTTTACAGAATCTTTGTCTCATATTGATGCTGAATATAATGACGTTTATTTTACTGACGTCAGATGATTAAGCAAATCTTTAATTTTACAACGTTTNTTAGCCATCACCAGCCGTAACGTTATGCAAATCTGTGATTCCCAAGCCATAGTCTTATGCAAATCATGCCGTGTGGCGTAATTGTCTGCTGACCAATCAGTGGCTGTACTTTCAACCATCTGTCGATGACCGTTTGGACTAAAAAAAAACTTCGCTAGGTCTTACTTTCAGGGGGAGGTCTTATATTTCGCAATTCAGCAAAATCTGTGCTAGGTCTTATTTTCTGCGGATGTCTTATTTTCGGGGAAACACGGTATATAGATGTAGATTATAATCACAGTAAAATATTTTAAATAACGAAACCAATACAACAATGACATATTTGTCTATGTATGCCTGCAATATGTGGTCAATGACAATCAAAGACTCGGCATATTACCATTTTGTGACATCAGCATTTAAAGGATATAATATTCTCTCAATGTTTTGACATGGTATTCAACAGCTATGTAATTTTCCGTAATTTGTATTTATATTTTTCAGACAATACTATTTTTAAATTGATTCATACTTGTTGTTTATTGTCTCAATACTTTTTTTTTTAAATTCTCCAAATTTTCTCTATAGAGGAACAATCTGAGCACTATGCAGGCCGAGGTAAATTTTTATTTATTTCTAGCGAAGTGACTCGCTGATTATGTTAATTAAACTTGTACAGTTCAATGTTATCTTCATAGAATGAGAAGAAACGATTCCGCAACAGCATTCTTCTGGAAGTAAGCAAGTTAGTTTCCAAAACATGGGATATACGCCTAGGCTTTCATCAATCAATTATAGAAATGTAGTTTACTTATACAACGAGCAGAAATACAGGTAACCCCCGTATAACACGGCACTTCTATAGCACGGATTCGCTCTAACACGGTTCGAGAATTGGTACCATCCTCCGTATAACACGGTACTTTTATAGCACGGATTCACTCTGAATCCGTGCTATAAAAGTACCGGTTCGAGAAATGGGTAAAACCCTCGTACAACATGAAATGTAATAAATTTTTACATACTTAAGTACTAATAGTTCACGAAAATTATTATTTTCGTAAACTATTAGTACTTCAGTGTGTAAATTTTCTTTTCTCATCTCCATATACATGGTCCTTCGCGAAAATTGTTTCAATTTTGCCAGATCTCGACGCTTCTGCTTCTGGTGTTGCCAGATGTTTTTCCCTTATTCCATAAGTGCTTAGCACCATATAAGGAAATTTATAAAGATCTTTTAACTAGAAGCAAGCAATCTAAAATTGCATACACTTTTTGCAAAAGATAAAGCGTGAATCTGAAAATAATGCAGAAAAATGCTGAGAGGATAACGATAACTTGCCAAAAATAAAACGCTTTCGGTTAATGGTGCTTTTAGTGATGACAAAGAAAACATTGTTCAATTTATAATATGTATCACTTAAGAAAATTTTAATAAAGATATTTACCTTAATTATGAAAATATAGTAGCATGTTTTTTTATTTTTGGAACCTAACCCTCCTTTTCGTACTAGTTCTTTGTTTCGCATAACACGGATTCGCATAACACGGAAATTTTTTGGAACGTAACTACCGTGTTATACGGGTGTTACCTGTACACGCAAATATCTTTAATAATGCTTGCTTCTGGTCTTGATGCCACAAACCTGCTCGCTTTACTACTACATTTTCCGGCATATAAGACGACTTTTTAACTTAGGAAAATCTTCTCAAAGTCGGGGATTGTCTTATACGCCTGAACGTACGGTAGTTGTTTGGCCAGTACTGATACAAATCATTTTTGATCAATATTTTTAAAACAAATTTGAAAAGTAGATTTGTCAGATAATAGAACTGTTTTCCATTCAGCTGTTATTCAGATTTGAAGCTGTCTTCATTACCCAAACTGACGTCAATTTTTTAACTCTGATAGTGATATCTATGAATTGCCGAAATTCAGCAGATATTGCTAGATAATGCGGTATTTTCGAAATTCATACTTTTCACTGAAACAATACAGTGATACAGTGAACAAATACTGCTAGATGAAGAGACGTAGTTCTATTAGATTCTCGTCCTAATTAAAATATATGACATAATTTTACTAATATAACTATATATTTAAAAAAAGTTTATTTTTTTAAATAATAAAGTTTACGATTGATGTTTAAAATCATAATTACTAAGTATTGTTTTTCTCTTTACTAATCCAAAGTTTTTTTTCCTTGTCAGACATCTTTATTGATGTCAATATTAGGAGAGATTCCTATTATTTCTGGAACAGTATCAGTGAAAGGAAAAATATCTTATTCTTCACAAGAAGCATGGATATTTAACGGAACAATTAGAGAAAATATTATATTTGGAGAAGAATATCAGGACGAGAAATATAGAAAAGTCTTACACATAACATCACTTGAGAAGGTACTATACTTTAACAATAAAAATTAGATTTTGGAGCAAAAATTTGTTGTAAATATCTGTTTATTTTACGGTTAAAAAATCAAGGACATTATTAGGCTGCAATTTTAAAAAATTGGAGACCTGTAAAATCCCACTGTTGTCTCTCGGTCTGACCATCGTTCTATAACTTCAAAATGTACTTAGAGTTATGAAAGTCAAGTCCATGTATAGAAGGCCTACATGCTGAAGGCTCCGATTTACTATAACCCAACGTCTAAGATAAATCGAAAGTCACGTTATTTCAATTAAAAATATTTTGTTGAAAGGAGTTTGATAGATGTCCAGCATGATTCCTTTTCTAACAAAAAGATATGATGTACAGGAGCAAACCACTATTAATTTCAAATGGTAGGCATGTATTTTAAACCAAATTAAAAATATGATTAAAAATTGCTGCCCAGAGTTGTGATTTTTATATAATGCTGTAGTTCTAATTTCAGTATAGAAAAACATGTAAAATGAAAATTTGTATCAAATCGGTTTGTACAATCCTTCATTAGCAATCACAAAATACATGTAATGATTTTTTTATTTTGATTGTATTTCATTATCGCTTGTCAGCACAAAGTAATAGTTATCCACTGTCTTCCAAAAGTAAACTCATAACCTCATAACTGAAAGGAAACAGCAGATGTCATTCATTGTGTTTAGTTGTATTTATTCTCAGTAATCTGGCAGCTAGAAAATCCAACGCATGATGTGGATGAAATGGCCAGCTATTTCATCCACATATTGCGTTAGATATTCGTCCAACGCAAACACCTGATCTGAACCGTACTACTTAGCTTGTAAGGAAAAGTGCCAGCTCCAAACTCCCTCCACTATCTAGCTCCCCATTCCAATGCCTCGTGATATAGTCTGCTCGTGATACAGCAGACTATATCTCGTGATATAGTCTGCTGTATATCACGAGACATCGTCCCAACAACGATGTTGATAATTTGAATAGTTTAATTAGCGAAGTTGTTTCGAAATCCCCAGCAAATAGTGTCAGGTCATATTCAACAGGAGGTTTCCGAGAAGGTAGACTCTCTCATTGATAGTAAAGTCAACAAAATATTAGACACTGCATAAAACACTATTCCAACTAGATTACCAACTTCCTCCTAAGCTGGTGTTGCTGTAAGGGCTAACACAACAAACAACAAACAAACAAACAGTCCAAAAACATACACAGTCCAGTGCTGGCAAACACGCAGTTCTCGTTTTTCCAAAAGAAAACATTAATATCACTCAGGATGAAATAAGACTAACACTCACTACAAATATAAAACTTAGTCAGTTAGGAATCTCAGTTAAAGCACTCAGGAAAATTAGGAATAACGGAGTTTGCATTCAATTAAATACAAAGGGTGACAGCGACAAAATGGTGGCTGCCATAAATTTAGTAAAAACATTAACGAACAGGTTAGAAATCAAATACTCGGCAGCCAGACAACCTAAGTTTATTCTGTTAAATGTCCTGGGCAATATAGTGGAACAAACACTACACATAAACTCCAGGAGTTTCAATATTAGAGAGGTTGTGGCCAATGTTTTCAACGCAAAAACGTGTACGTCAGACGTTCAGCACCGCTTTCCTAAAGGCCTAGAAGTTTGGCAATGGTGTTTGGGACGTCGAGCCTGATTCCACTGACAATGCAAACGCCATTGTCAAGCTTTTAGACTTATAGGAAAGCGGCGCTGAACGTCTGACGTAGACGTTTTCGTGATGAAAACGTCGACCGCGACTTCTCTATTTCTGCTGTGTTCTAACCAAAATAAACCGCAACACGACAGACACTTCTAGATTACACGTTGTCCTTCAGGAAACTCTTAGTAATGATACAAGGAATGTTCCTGGTAAATCCTAGTAACAATACTAGGAGTTACCAGGAACATGTTAATTTAACAGCAGTATGTTATTGTGCAATGGGCAATAATAGCGATAGATAACTACATTCCTCTCTCACGCTGCTACAAATGCTGTGTTATGGCTATCTAGCTAGAGAATGTACAGACAGACAGAGAGAAAGGGCCTGACCAATAGGTATAGCCCTGGGTAGACTAGAAAAGGAAGAAGGATTAAAGTTAGTTGAGAGGGGGTAAGACTGAAGGTGAAGCAAAGTAAGATAGGAAAGAGGAAAGTAGCCAGCCTAAGCCCATGAGACTCATCGGCGTCCTGCAACGCATTTATTTCAAACAAAACAGTAGGATACAAGGATACAAAACATAGATTACAAACATTGACATTGGGTTACATATATAAATCGCGGAAACATAGTAACAGTATGGAACTTGATACCGTATTAACTATAATTTAAAACTACAGAAAATTGTGGTACTAAACAAGGCTAATACAGTTGTGATGATGCTAATATGACAAGAATATAATAAAATACATGGATGGTTAAACATAGCAGGGGCACAAATGAAAACAGATAAATAATATTACATGATAATACACAGGAGACAAAACACACAAAATGTTAGAGTAAAATAAGTGACAATAAAGGATAACATAGGTGTTACAGTAACAATCTAGGTGGTAATGCAATAACAAAATATATACAAGAACAAAACCGCACAGTAGCCCTCCAGGCGGGCAAGGAGACCACACGAATGGTCGAGGACAGTCAAAGAGGGCGACAAACAGTGCAGTGATGGAAGTCCAATCACACAACACACAAAACAGTCAAAAGTGCCAGCCGATGGGCCGAGGGAAAATTAGTCCAGAATTCTGATTTCCTTGGCAAAGTTCTTTAGCGCAAAAAACACTTTGCTGTTGCTGGTGAAGGTATCCAAAATTCAGGGCCAGTGATACCCACAGTTGAGCACAGCATCGATGAGACGTCTACGCTGGCTGGAGTAGAGTGGACAGTGGTAGATGATATGCTGGGTGTCTTCCTCTTCGTTGAGGTCGCACTCACAATGTCCATCAGTCTTCCCCAAGAACCTCTCGAGGTAGGTCCTCAGGTTACCATGCCCGGTGAAGAGTTGGGTAAGTTGAAACGAAGTATTGTGGTGGGGGTGAGCAGTCCTGTTTTTGATGCACGGGTAAAAGCTGTGGGTCAGCCTCCC